AATTAATATTCATTTAAATGCAATACAGAATCATAACATATTAAAAATTTTTCTTTTGACCTGCTGGTTTGGTCAGGACCAAAGGTGGACATTAGTTACTGTTATGTGGTGCAGTTCTTTTTCACCTCGTACATTAAAGGTAGTGAGCTAACTTGTGAACAAAGCCACAGGTGAACTTTGTTGCTCCTACTGGATAGAAATGATTTGAGCATGGACCAGGGAATGTTAGGTCAGATCGGGTAGTGACAGCTGGTTTGATTCTAACCAGAGTCCATTCAGAACTGGGCCGAGACCACTTCTAAAGGTGGGTTCCAGTCTGGTTGTTTGGTGCAAACTAAGGTTTCCTTGAGTGTTTTCCTACCAGCACAAATGGTCCAGAAAAAGAAAGAAACTGAAAATAGCTCCAGAAATGTCAGCTGTCTTTTACCTGTTCAGCATCAGCTTCTGATTTAAATGTGAGGAACCAGTTGTTATTCACGGCCTCACAGCTCAGAACCTTTGGCACGTCTTCGCCTTCAAACAGAGCCTCCACCTCCTGCAGAGCAGCAGTAACATCGAACAGACATCAGTAACCTGCCTCCCTGACGCACAGAAGAGTTAGATTGTAGGGAGAAGGTTGGACTAGCCTCTGGAGGTGTGGTGTCAGGAATCTCACGCAGGATCACAATGCAGCGGTTCTGTCTGGGCCGAACCTTCTGCCCACAGGGAGCCACCTCTGCCAGAGGAATGGCTGCCGTCCAGATGGGAGCAGGACATGTCAGAGGAGTAAACAAACACAGGAGCTTAATCCAGACGGAAGTTATGTTTTCAGTGACTAGCAAGCAATAAAGAAACATTATATTTCAAATATCCTGATCATGGTTTGACTTTGGAAAAACATCAGCCGTTTCTAAATGTGTACTTGTGCGTTCTCATGTGCTCGTGAAACATCATCCGCCTCAGCCCTAGTACTGTTCCAATTCACAAGAACAGCAGACCGAGAACGGACAATGTCCCCGGATGTTGTTCTCGCCCCTCCTTATTTACCCAGCATGCATCAGAGCAGACTTGTCCGTTTTTGAGATTGACAGCTGTCCCAGCATGCACTGCTGCAGCAGCTTTCAATGGAGCGCTCACACAGCTGAGAGTATTACCGGTAAGTTAAAAGTTCTCTTTTCTGTTGCCGTTGTTCAATAAAAGTACATTTTCGGATAATTTAAGGCGAGAATATTATACTTAAGCGTTACTACATATCCCATTTACTTATTTAATGTGTAATTTAAAAAACTTCCGAGGGTAATGGCAGCCAGGGCTAACCACAGCCCGTCTGCAGCAGCCCTCTCTAAGCATAGCCGTGTGTGAAGGACCGCTGCCTCTGATTGCGATTTTTTTGTTTTATTTGGAAAAATGTTCATTTGATTTGTGTTTATCTGACTGTGTTAATTATTAATCCCCCACTAAATTGAAAAAGTCAGAATATATTATTATCTAGAGACTATTAATAACAGGAGGTGAAATGCAGCTCCAGACGAGCGGGATGTGTAGTGACGCCACGAGTACGCTTCTGTTCCAGTTGACCCATAGTTATGCTGCGTGCTCCCGTTCTCCCCCAGTCCAGGCTTTCCTGTGTTCTTCTCAAGAAAATACTTGGCGAGGACACGAGTCCGTGTTCGTGTTCTTGTGAATTGAGAAATGTAAAATGCAGACACATTCATCTGAACTAAAACAGGCACCAACATTTGAGGATATCACAGATCAGCTCCAGGTCAGTGGTGACGTTCTTGATCCTATCCAGGGTGGCCAGAATGGAGATGGGGATGTAGTGGTCGTTATCCATCTGAGACTTCAGGTAAAGGTCGCTGCTCAAAAAATCCCTGAGGAAGAAGGGAGAAGTCAGTAAGGAACACTCACAGACTAGTTACTGCCTAATACCAGCAGAAACATCACACATATCTATTTTAAGGCCCAATGGTTCATTTTTCTTAGAATTAAACCCCACTGTTGTTCCACATGTTACCTGGTTAGACAGGACTCCAAAATGTTGCTCAGTTGTTCTCTGATCTCATCTGGAAGAAGGAAACCAAATGTTTTTATGTGTGTGTGAGAATATTTGTTGCCGCTGGCATAAAAAGGACTGATTTATCCCACGTTTACCGGTAACCAGAGGCTCAGGGAGTTCTTCGTTAACCAGGGGAGCTTTAGACGATTGTTCCTGATATTCAGCATCATCTTTACCCAGAACCACGTTCTCTTCAAACTCTAGAAAAGAATAATAAAACACTATTGAGACAATATTTAGGCAAAAACATAAACCAGTTGATGTGGAGGGGAGCCACAGTTGACCTTGAAGGCTCAGGTCGTCGGGGGGCTGGAAGGACGGGTCAGAGACGTGGAAGCTGAGGCTGGGATCCATCCAGACCTCCTCTTCAAGGGCAGCGGCAGCTTCCTGAAACAAAAACCCACGTTTAAAATGAATCTAAAATACATTTAGATTACTAACCTTTCAACCCTTCTGGGTCAGTTTAACATTTCAGAGTTTTACTGGTTTGAAACCACCTTACTGGTCAGAATTTTTACACCATTAGGATTCAGCTTCAGCTCTGAGATCCACAAAGTATTGAATGTGAGTTCAGTTTGGATCCATCTGTTTCTTTTCACCTTTGGCTCATTCTTACTTTTTTTATCCTTTTATTCTCTGTAAAGAACCTTAGTTAAGGGAAATTTGCTTTTAAATCTGCTGTTTATAAGAACTCTGATTGATTTTTATGGTTTAGCTCAGAGGTCACAGATTAGTGGACCGCGGTCCA